GCTATGTTGGAGAAGGAAGGAGGACTTGTTCCTTCCTGTTTGGGTTTTGTGGGTATTGATTTATTCCCAATGCTGCTTCCCCTCTGCCTTCTGGTAGCAGTTCAATCCAGCACGTAGGTTTGCCATTCGCAGGCACTGTGCCTTACCCCCTCCCTGCCAAGACACCAGCTTTAGCCAGCTGCTACTCCTCCACAAAGCTTAAGTGCAAGGCCCATGGGGCCCCTCATCTGAGCTTATTACCAGCACTAGCCTAGCAGTGCCCCCCTCTTTATAGGTCTGTTTCAGCTCCACAGGGCCTCTCTCCAGTCTTCAAAGTTTCAATTACTGTAACCACTTCTAGTCCTGCTTTGTGTTTGCCTTACGCATTGAGCAGTCAACCCTTCTCACCACCACCACCCACAAGTGGTTCAGATGTTGAGACGGATGCCACACACACTAGGATAGTATGGAAATGTTTACAATTCACATGAGGCATTCTGGGGACAGCAGGGCAGGCACCCAGCCCAGCTGGTTTGGCTTGAGTCAAAGGAGGGATGAGTAGCCTTTGTCTGCATTGTGGTTAGGGGATGAGGGTTTCAGGGCACAGTCAAAGGCCAAGGATTCCAGCCTGAACTTTGTAGCACCAAGAGGGAATGCCTGGGCTTTCTTACCGGCTTGTCCAGATGTAGCAGGGAGGGAATGTGGGGGTCAGGGTTTGAAAGCTATCAGGAGGCAAACATCAAAAAACAAGATCAGACTCATTTCAGCTCCCCCAGTCCTAGAAGGGAGAGCTGCTTCCCATAGTTACTATCTCCATACTATACCATTCACCTTTTGCCTTTTTAGTTAACTTAGATATGCAGCTCTGGTGGCACAGAGCCTAAGGCATTTGACTGCTACCCAGAAGGTTGGTGGTTCAAACCCACCAGCCACTCCATGGAAGGAAAACTGGACAATCTACTTTGGTAAAGATTTATTGGCTCAGAAACCCAAAGGGGGTTGCTATGAGTCAGACTTGACCTGATGGCCTTGAGTGTTTTTTTTTTTTTTTTTGTTTAACAATGCTTTATAATAAACTCTCTTTGTTAAAATAATTGGTGTGGTTTCTGGCTCCTGTCTAGAATCTGGCTAATATAACATCTCTTTGCCATTCTTTGCAGGCTTAGCCCTTAACTTCAGAGCTGTGGGAGGTGGTATGTAACCTTTTCATCGCTTGCCTAACAGAGAATGGTTCACTAAGCATCTCTCAGCAAGGATCCCATTCCTTCATCAAAAGTATAAGCCTATGGTCTGATAGAGTCTGGTGGAACCAGAGACTATGGCCCCTAGCTGCCCTTCAGGTCTGGAATTGAACCCACACTTGTGGATTCCAGCCAAACAAAAGACAGACATATGTGTCGAGCATGCACCTGAAGTAGATACAGTCCTTGGAGAGAACAATCATGGGATAATAGAAGGGCTGTGTATGCACAGGGAAACAGCTCAGGGGGCAAGAGTGCATGGAGGGATGGACACAGGGAAGAGGCAACTATCGGGAGGAAGTGGGAGGGGAGCTATTGCATTGTGGTAAAAAAAGGGGAAAACAAAATAGTATGAGCCTATAATTTCTGGCTTCACTGACTATCTCTAGGCAAGGAGGAATTAAAGACAATGGGGCTTATAATTTCCATAACACTGCAAGTCTTAGAAGTCTCAGGTCAGCACATGAAGGACATCCTTCTCTTTATAACTGTTATGTGGTATTCCGTAACAAATGTTCCAGACAGTTTAACCATCCCTTTACTAAGAGTCATTTCTGTTGCTCCCAGTTTTTGCAGATGAGAAAACTGAAATGGCAGAACTAGGATTTCTATAAAATCGTAAGATGCCAACATCCATGCTTAAAAAATAGTTTTATTTTGAAATGTTTTAGGCAAACAGTCAAAAAGAATCCACCATACTGTTGTGTTAAATCAACATTCTGACACAAATGCACCCATTTAAAAAAAGAAAACAAGTAAAGGCCCCACGTACCCTCCCTGATCTCATCAGCATCTCTTGCCCTGAGAAGCCAGGGCAGGGCCTTGTATACTTATTCCAACGTGTGATTTTACACTCTTATTTCATAGAACTTGATCCACAGAAAATACACTATTGTGCAAAACAATGATAACACTGTTTACTATATGCCAACAACGCTTACATGCCAGCCACTATCCTAAGGATTTTACATGCATATTTCATTAACAGCCCCCCCAGACAGTTCAATCAGATAGAAGTTGGTACTACTCTCCCATTTTACAGATAGAGTGAAACACAAATAAGTTTTAAGTAATGTGTTCATGAATACTAAACTTTACATAAGTGGTATACTGCATCTGTTATGTAGCTTCTACAATTTTCTCAGCATTGTTTTTTATTTATGTTGAATGACACAGCTCTAGTTCTTTCACACTCACTTTCCAAGGTACTAAAAAGAACCACTTATCTTCTGTTGATGGTAATTTAGAGTTTTCCCAATCTTGCTACCTAAACATGCTGCAAAGACCAGTCTTATACTCACTTCCTTCTTCACAGGAAAGAGTTCCTCTAGGGTACATCCAGAAGTGGAATTGCTAAGTGGTAGAGAACACACAAATTTACAAAATTTTGCAAACTGCTCAACACAGTAGTTGGCACAATTTCCACTCACAGCGTCTTGAGTTTCCACTGGTTCACATTCTTACCCACACTTGGACCTTCAAAATTTCACCAACTTGATGAGGGTGGGACGCTAAGATTTTGGATTTCCTGTTCTTCTTTCTTTGCATGTCTCTGAGTCTCTATCAGCAAGGGAGTAGGCCGATTGCACTGACCACCAGACCAAAAGCCCTCCTGAACCCCATGCCTCTCTGAACCGTGATTGTCCTAGTCCCTCTGGTTCTCCTGACCACCAACTTCAGTTCTTCCTAAGGTGCACAGGGGAGGTAGGGCAGGGTTGGAAGAAGCCAGCACCTTCTCCAGACCAGGATGGGGTATAAGAGGGGAACTGGTGGTTGCAGCAGTCAGAAACTGTCAACTGGGGCCACATGTCTCAAAACTATCCACAGCTGGACTTCTAACCAGCAGAAGTATGCTGATGGGTGGCTCTCAGTCAACATTTCACTAAGGGATTCCCTCATAAAACTGCAGCCCTGATCTAGCTGAACTAAATACAGTTCTATAACCCTTAATAGAGCCATCTTTATGGAAAATCTCTTCATAGCAAACACAGAAATAAGCACCCAATCCTGGCCTTCGGAGAGCTCAGTCTGGCCGCAGCGATAGGGGTCACTGGAAACCCAGACAATAGCCAGCAGTGAGGTACAGGCACTAGGAGAGGTGGGGCCAGAGAGGGAGGGCTCAGAGGCTAGGACAAGGGCCAGGAAGGGCCAAGCCTTGCAGAGTGAGGACCTGGGCTAGCAGAAAGAGGGGTGGCACTCCAGGTAACAACAGACAGCCAAGAGGCAGGACTGTGCAGGGACATTCAGGAGAGTCCAGTCCAACACTGATTACACCAAAATGTACTCAGTAGCTGGCTCCAAGTGGTAACATTATTACTGTCTTTTCCTTTTACCTAATCTATATTTACTAGTATTTCTATATTAATCACATATTACTTACATAATAGCTAAGATTATTTGAAACCTCAGGTTACTGAACAGACTCCATCAATACAATCCCCAAAACATTAACGGCTCCCTCAGTACAGAGGGATTTCTATTGATTTTCACGGGTAGTCTTTGTACATTTAAAATTGGATTTAAATGTCTAAAAATAAGTGTATCTTATTAAAATGGTAGTAAAAACACTGCTATTGGGGCAGAAATTCTTATGAGGTGGTGGGAGGGACAGGGAGTGGGCTGAGGGGATGAAAAACGTGGAGAGAAAAAAAGGTTATTTCTGTGTGGCACCAACTGACCTGGTAGCTGCACCTCTGTGAGGGCTCAGGTGCTAGGTATCAGCCACCCATCACTCCAATTCCACATACAAGAAAACAGACGCAGAGGTTCAGTGACTTACCACAGATCACTCTGCCAAAAAAAGGCAACAGTGAGCTTGGAACCCAGAGCTGATGTATGTCATGATGCTGAGCTCTGCCCAGCCACTTCTAGCACCAGTTCTGGGCACTGTGCCAGTGACGGGACACTTGATTCCAGGCCACAAGCAGCCACTGCTGTAGGAAGGCAAGGGCTCCTCCTAGCTGGGCAGATAGTCCACTTTGATCCAGACGACCAATCCTTCCCAAGTACAAAGCTGAATGGGCAACACAACACCAAGAGGAGTTGCCTTCCCTGGAAGCTCAAAGCCAAGTCATGTGATAGATGTCATGACAGACACACTGAGAGCCCCCCTCCCCCCAGTATCTCTCCCTCCTCCATCTAATACCAGATAGAGCCTTCATTTCTACCTCCCCATGGCAATCCAGAGGATGAGATCACCTGTACTCTATTGAAGACATTTTCTTCCCCACTTGCTACTGAAACAACTCTGGTTGTGCCCATAACAGGTATCCAAAAGCCAAATGTGAGGCTGAAGCTCCAGCCAGAACTCCCCAAGAGGCATCTGGGGAGAACGGGAGGAGTTCTGGATGCTAAAGCTGCTGTTTGTAACGTAAAATCAAACAGGCACCATCATAGGCCAAACTCAAAGAGAAACTTAGGATCCAATTGGCCCCTTCCCAACAGCCATAGCCCACCATGCCACATTCTGTCCAGCCACAAAGGGCAATGGTCTCTCCTTTTAGAGATGTGGAAGGAACCCCAGGGCATTGAGCAGAGGCCACTCTTGGGGGCTAAGCCCCCGAAGGGCCCCAAAGAACATGTTGCTGCTCTTCTCTAGCATCTCACTTCCTAGTGGGTAGGATGGGCACTGCCTACGTTTTTCAATCCTCAGGATTCTCTGCCACTAGCTTCCACAATAGGAAAGGGTGGGCTCTCTGTGAAGGTTTTCCCCCACACTTTTTTCAATTAAGGTTCTCTGGCAGGGTAGCTAAGAACACCCCCACACTGTCAGGCCCTAGGCTAGTCTCTAGTATGGTTTTTCATATGCCGAGCCAAATTTGAAGACCACCTGAAGGTCTTCCCACACTCTCTGCATTTGAAGGGTCTCTCTCGAGTATGAAATCTCTTGTGGCTAAGGAGTTGTGAACCCTTCTTAAAAGATTTGCCACACATGTTACATTTGTGGCACTTTTTCCCAATGGGTATGTTCTGGAGCCCAGTGGGCCTGGAGCTCTGGTCACAAGCTTCCTCACAATCTTCAAGAGGTTTCTCTTCACTGGGTCTGAATTCCTGTAAATTCAACCCTGTGTCCTGGTGGGAAGACAAGCCAGATGGGCTATGTTCAGACTGTGTCACTCTGCTGTGTTTTCTCTCATGAACATAGAGGGTATGTCTTCCAATGAAATCTTTCCCACACCACTGACATTTAAAAGGTTTCTCTTTACTGTGAATTCTCTGATGATTAACAAGGCGGTAATTTCTATCATAAGATTTCCCACACAGGTTACATTTATAGCGCTTCTCTCCACTGTGTATCCCCTTATGATCTAAAAGTGTTCTTTTACGAGTAAAGGTTTTCCCACATTCTTGACACCAAAAAGGTTTTTCACTGGTGAGGATTTTTGGCTGCAGATTTGGAGTTTTTTCACATTCAAGGTATTCATAACGTTTTTCAAAAGAGTGACTCCTATGATGTCGGGAGAGGTTGGAACTCCATCTGAAGGCTTTCCCACATTCCCTGCACTGGTAAGGCTTCTCTCTGGTATGGATTCTCTGATGGATGAGGAGGAATGAGAGATTAGGGAAGGCTTTGCCACACTGGCTGCATTTGTAGGGTTTCTCCGTGGGAGAACTACTCTGAGACGCTTGGAACACTTGGTCCTGATTGAACAGTGGCTCCCCCTCAGGTTTTCTTTTTATGGTATGCCGCTTCTTATGAACAACAAAGGCTGACCTATGGGTAAATGCTTTCCCACATTCATTACATTGGTATGGTTTTTCACCTGTGTGAATTCTCTGATGATCAATGAGGGATTTCTTTCGAGTAAAGGTTTTCCCACACTGCTGACATAAAAAAGTTTTCTCTTCAGTGAGGGCCTTCTGTGGGCTGTCGCTGGAGGTCTGCCTAAAGTCTTCCCTACATTTCTCTTGTTCGTATAGCTTTTTCTCCTTGTGCATTCTCATATGACGAGTAAAGTTTGACCTCCACCTAAAAGTTTTCCTACATTTGGTACATACATAGGGTTTCTCCTGGGTGTGAATCCGTTGATGTTCAAGAACGTACGATTTACAGTGGAAAGATTTCCGACACTGGCTGCAGTCAAAGGGTTTCTTCCCACTGTGGTCTCTAAAATGATGTTCAAACTCTGAGCCATAGGTGAAAGCTTCTCCATTCTGATTAGGTTCAAGAAATTCCTGCTTAGCATGGGTTTCCTGGTGCAGACGAAAGGCTGACCTGCGTCGGAAAGCTTTCTCACAAAAACTGCATTTGTAAGGTTTCAGTCCAGTGTGAATCTTTTCATGTCGCACACAGTTTGAGCTCCACCTAAAGGCTTTCCCACACACCCTGCATTTAAATGGTTTCTCTTGAGCATGAAGTCTCTGATGACATTCAAGATGGGACCTATGACTGAAGGTCCTCCCACAGTCACTGCACTTATATGGGGTTGCTACCATGGGAAGACTCTGTCCGTGTTGATGATAAGAGCTAAGGCTGTAGTCTTTCCCACATGCATCTTCTTCATTCCCTTTCAGTACTGCATGAATTCTCTGTTGTAGGCTAAACCCTCCGATCATGTGTCTGAGCCCTTTCTCATATTCCTTGTAGTCACAATGGTGTAAACTCGGTCTATAGCGTCTGCCACAGCCATGTTTAAGGGATCGCTTTCTTCCTGGAACTCTCAAATGTGTTAAATGTTTTAGGTCAAGACTATTACTTCCTGTTGATTCCTCAGATTCTTTTTCTGTCCTGTGACTAAAATCGGTCTCTTCTTTCTTAATTCTCATTAGCATGGGGCATCCCCATTGCTCCTCTAACCCACTCTTCTGTTCAAAAGATTCTCTAAGGCCTGTTCCTTCAGAAACATTCATTGTGGAGCATCCTGATTGCAGAGTTAAGGTTTCTCCTTCTTCCAAAGGTTCACGTTTTAACTTGAACTTGTTTGTTTTAATCTGGAGCTCGCCTCCTGACACAAAAGGAAACACAAGACAATGTACTCTTTTCCTATACTTGGAACTGGAGAAAGCACTAAGGGGCAATAAATGCCATGACCCTGGGCAATGAGGCTTTTGTCTGACTGCCAATACTTTGACAAAACAGCCAGGGATATAGCACAATATGGAAGAGGATCCCAGATAACAGAGAAGGAAGGACGAGAAAGCAAGATGACACTGTAGCTAGAGACATGCAGAAATCAAAGCCAACTAGAGAATAAAAGGGTCGAGAGGGGAATGTTAAACAGCTGGAGCATCTCTCACTGCTGGTGAGTCAATTCTGACTCATGGTGACCCCATGGATTACAGAATAGAACTGATCCATAGACTTATCTTGGTTGTAATCTTTACAGAAGCAGACTGCCAGGCTTCTCTCTCACGGTGCTCCTGGGTAGGTTAGAACTGCCAACCCTTACGTTAGTAGTCGAGTACAAATGGTTTTCACCACCCAAGGACCTAACAGCAGTAGAGGGGATAGGAATCATGGCATGGGAGCATGATAGGAAGATACTCAAAAGCCAAGGGGTAGGGATCCATGGTGGGAAGCTGAAAGACCTGGACATCAGGCTATCACAGAGAGAAGGACCAAGCAAAGAAGAGGACCAGAAGTGGGAGGAAGGCTCCTAGGACCAGGTGGGCACAGGAATTCAGCAGAGGAAAGGAGAGGTACAATGAACCCCTCTGGTAGGCAAGAGTTGTTACTGAGAGGGCTGGCTGGTAGAGAGGCAGGGCAGGAAATGAATGGCCTCTAAAAGATCAGTCCGGAGCAGGGAGGCCCAGGGACCTAGCATGCCTTAGCACCATTACTAAAGACCTTTCTTCCAGAAAATAATGGAGTAAGTCGCCAGAACACAGGAGAAAGGCAGGAACTGGTAGGTTCTCTGGAACTCACCTGCAGGGGCAGCACTTGGACTCTCTCTTTGCTGAGTTCCTTGGACATTGAGGCCCCACGGCTCCCTTCCCTCTAGCCAGGAGATTAGAGCAGGTTTGGGGAAAGTCCCCACTGCAGAAGAGAAGGACATGGAACAGGAAGGGAGATGAATCACACAGAACTACCCTTCAGGATCCTCTCTCAGGCCTGTGGCCCTGGTAGGAAGGAGAGAAAGGCCAGAGGTGCAGGTGGAGTAGGCTAGAACAAGAGGCTCAGGTATTTCTGAAAGCCCTGAGCAGAGATAAGAAAGGCTGAGAAAAGTCTCAGCCAAGAGGATCCCTAGGATTCTCCAGAGGTACAAACCACAACTCAATCAGTTAAATTGGCCAACGTTCTCTGAATGCCTACGTGGACTAGGCACCTGAAACATACTACTGTGAATCTTTACAATGACCCTGTGTGACAGGCATGAAGATCCCCATTTTTCAAAAGAGGAGAGTGAAACTCACAGACTAAGTGATCTTGCTAACAGTTAACACAGCCAAGATCTAAACTCAGGCCAGGCCCCTTTTAATGCACCACAATGAAAACCAAGAAGGCAGAGTCAAGGTGGGTAGAGGTATGGGGACATTGACGCCTTACCCAGAGAAACCACGTTTCCATAATTCTCCAGCATCACATCCCTATACAGGTTCCTCTTGGCAGGGTCTAGCCATCCCCACTCATCCTGGAAGAAGAGCACCTCCACGTCCTTGAAAGTCACAGCTTCCTGCAAAAACATAGTCCTTTGCCCCAGAACTAGCCTGCAGCTCCTGGCTTTCAGGAGGGGCCAGGGAGGCATGGCTCTGAATCAGTATAGGATGGATCTGGCAAGGGTGAAAGAGAAGACTATCTCCCCACAGAAGAGCTCTGGGCCTTGGGATAATTTGGGATGTGAGTCTGGATGGGAGGTCCATGGACAGAGAAACCCAGGATCAGGGAAAGCTCCAGCTCCTCTCATTAGACAGCAGTGCTGGGACATAAACAATTACATATCAACTGCCATCAAGTCCATTCCAACTCATAGTGACCCTATAAGTCAGAGTAGAACTGTCCCATGGGGTTTCCAAGGCTGTAAATTTTTATGGAAACAGACTGTCTCATCTTTTTCCTGCAGAGCGGCTGGTGGGTTTGAACCACTAACCTTCTGGTTAGCAGCAGAGTGCTTTAACTACTATATCACCAGGCTCCTCACAGGAAGAATAATGGCCCTAAAAACGGGAAATAATTGAGTCTTTTTCTTTATCTACCTTCTACACTCACCCAATGGAAGTGCTGCTGCCGAATGCTTTAACCACTGTGCCGATAGAGGTCCTGTTGGGACATTAGGAAGGAACAAAAGCATGTGGCTCACCTGAGGCTGGTCTGTCAGGGGTGTGGCTGCTGTCACTCCATCTCCTGGGGACCCTTCTCTCTGGGGAAGGGTAGGTACCTGCGCAGGGGGATCTGAGGGAGAAGAAAGAGCCATGAAAGAGTGGCCCAGCTCCATGCACCCCACTGGGAAGCCACTCTCCCCAGATACAGAGGACTCCTGGGCCCACAAAAGGTACTGACTGTTTTCAAACACCAGTTTCACATTTCCCCAGCATTTGTTGGAGGCCGTGGGTTGGGGCAGGGTGGGGATGCCACGGGAAGAAGGGATGGAAAGAATACAGAGCAAAGGGCAAGACAGAAAGGAAAGGGATTCTATGAGAGGTCAGAGGGTAAAAAGACAATAATACTATAGGAAAATTTGGGAAGTGTGGCATGAGGCCGGGGTCTCACAGCCAAGCGGCGAGTACCGGATTGCCCAGCCAGGTTGTCACGCACTCCTATTTCATAGGGGGGTTCCAGGCGGTCTCCCAAGGCAGAGTCACTCCTGATAGGTGAAGCAGGGGGCCAGATCTGTGCAGCTCGCAGGGCTCCTGTACCCATCCAGTGCACATCTGGGCTCTGAGCAGGGGCTAGGTCCTGGAAAGAAGAAAATGTGAGAGGACCTCCAATGGGAACCAGAAAGCATACTCAGAGAACAGGCCATGTGGCTCATCTCTAAAGGACAGAGGCCTAGGGAAGGATAAGCCAGGCCTTTATTACCTCCAGGTAGAAGGAAAACAACAAGGAAAGCCCAGGAAGGACCCTCCCCAGCCTCAGCCCTACAACTTCTACCTCCCTGGGCTCTAAAATGGGCTGGGTGGGGAAGGCCGTAGGGGGAAGGGGGGCCAGACTCCAGCTCCACATATGCAAGCACTTGGAGAGTCAGTAAAAGCACTGCTGTCAGGATCACAGTGTTATGCCCTCTCCCTCTCACCCTCCACTGCCAACTTGGAACTTACATATGAGAGAGAAGGAAATCTGTCCCAGAAAGTGAAACAGATAATGATTCACAGCAGAGATGCTGCACATGTATGATCTTCCAAGTGTCAGGCACTGCTCTAAGACACTGATGTACAAAGTGACCTTGAAGAGGCAGAGTGGCTCCCAGATTATAAACCTGACTGAACTATTAATACCGCAGAAACACAATGTGTGTTTGGAGGGTCAGCCATGGAACCACAGAAGAGAAAGTCTCAGGGACAAAAACCGGCAGGGCCTATCCAAGCAGCGGGAGCTCTGGTGGTGTAGTGCCTGAGGCAGTTGACTGCTAGCCAGAAGGCTGGCAGTTCAAACCCACCAGCCAATCCTCAGAAGGAAGGTTGGGCAATCTACTTCTGTAGTGATACCGCCTTGGAAACCCAAGGAGGGGTTGCTATGAATCACACCTGACTCGACGGCAAGTGAGTTTGATCCAAGCAGTGACCAGGAAAGAGGAAGTCTTTGTCCTGAGACTTCAGATAGTTCTGGTCTCAGGGAAAGGCATTCTCTGAGGGAGAGGTGAGGATAGAAGCTGCAGCCAATGAACGTCAAGTTTTTCTGTTTATGTGGCCAAGACGGGCTCTACACTCAGATGAATGACTCTTAGCCTGAGGACACCAACAGCTGATGCAGAGCTCTAGGTTAAAGACGATGAACTGACCACAGTAAGGCATCTCCTGTTCCTCCCCAAACCTACTAAAGGGAGAATAAAGAAATAGTAATAACACAGAAGTGCTGCCAAATGAGGTTAAGGGCAAGTGTTCTCAGATTCTGGTTTTGCACATTCTGGTACCTCAAGCAAACCACAAGACAATTCCATAACTTCATATCATCTTGAGGATTTCTGTTCATTTTTCAGAATTGGAGAGGATGGGGGTTCTCGCAGCTCTAGTTTTTTGTTTTCTAACTAGTTTTTAACCAGGTGGGCCCTCTGGTCATCCGCAATGTTTTCACAGAGTTTTTAAATATTACATCTAGCTCTTAATTAGTTGAATATAACCAAGCCACAATTTTCTAAATACTGCGTAACATTTTTTATAAATTACTTTTAGATCTGTTTAAACATCTCTTTGAGGTTCCCAACTTCCTAGTCTATGGCTGCTTCTCCTCCTCCCTGCCCTGCCACACATGCACACAGAACAGGGCTTCAAAAGTTTGCTGAGGAAGAAGCAATGTGGTACTTGTAATCCATTCTTCTGGGTCTTACCCTATACTCCCCCACTCAGCACCCATGAGTCCAGAACCCAGGTGCCCCCTTCCTTATGAACAAAAGACACCACTCCCAACTTACAAGCTTATGTCAGTATCAAGTCAAATTAACGACTATATGATGAGGGAATTGGTACATTGTAAGCCACTATGTCCAAAAGCTAGTTCCTACTATTGATGGACATTGGCTGACTCTTTTCACAGAGGTGATTTTCCTTTGGGAAGGTGACAAGGGCTACCTGCTAAAAGATCCATGGCTCAGGCCCCGGTTCTCAGCTGCTCAAGTGCAGAGGAATGAAAAGGGGAAGGGTCCCCTTGCATTCCGCAACACTGTGCGCTCATTGCGAGGCTTGCCCCAACTCCAACAAGCTGGCTCCCTAGCAGGCAGAGTTCAGGAGGGCCCCTGCACTTGCCCCCACTCACCCTCTGTGACGTTCCATCGAGGTCTCTCTGCAGCTCCTCCAATAGGGCCACAGCCTCCTCCCCACTCCTGGGACGATGCAGCTGAACCCAGGTCCGGAGCTCTCCGGGCAGGATGCTCAGAAACTGCTCCAGCACTAGCAGCTCTAGGATCTGGGCCTTGGAGAGGACATCAGGCCTCAGCCACCAGCGGCAGAGCTCCTGGAGTCGGCTCAGAGTTTCTAGAGGACCAGAAGACTCATGGTAGCGAAGCTGCCTGAAAAGCTGGCGGAAGAGCTCCTGGCCCGGACGGTTGAGAGTCTGTGGCCTGGCTGCCTGCACTGAATTGCAGCCTTCATCCTCTTTTTCCTTCTTCACCATCTTAAGACGTCCTTGCTCCCTTGAAGCCTGGGTCCGGGGCCCTGAATGGGAGGCATACCACCTGCCTGGAGGCATCTCTCACATTCAGGTTCATGCAGCAGAGCAAGAATCAAGTGTGCCTTAGATGTAGAGCTACTGGGTCCTCGGGAGTATCTTCTCAGCAATGGTCTGGACAATGCCATTTACTGGGATGTCAGAGGTCACTGGCAATAGACTGAAATTACCAATGTGCCTGTTCAGGAGGGAATGAGAGAATGACGCCCGTCATAAATGGTATAAGTCAATTCTATTAGCTCAGACTATGCTTGGATATATGAGAAGAGGGCAAATGAGCATTTGCACACGTGTCTGCCAATATCAAGCAGACCAAGGCTAGACTGTATAGTTGTATGTTGGGGTAAACTAAGAAAATATCCCAGTACAGTACAGTACAGAGAGACCAGAGAAATAGAAAATATAAAATAAAAGCTAAGAGCTGCCTCCTTAAAGCAGAGTTGATCTTAATGAAGTGGATGGAGTGAAGCTGAAGGGCTTGCTTATGTGGCACAATTCAACCTAAGAACAAGCTGCAGACATCCATTAGTAATCGAAATGTGGAATGTCCAAAGTATGAATCTAGGAAAACTGGAAGTTGTTAAAAATGAAACGGAATGCTTGAAGATCTATATCCCAAACAATTGTGAGCTGCAGTGGACTGATATTCACCATTTTGAATCAGACAACCATATGGTCTACTATGCTGGAATGATAAATTGAAGAGGAATGGCACTGCATTTATCAAAAAGAACATTTCAAGATCTATGCCAAAATACAACGCTGCCAATGATAGGATAATATCCATATGCCTACAAGGAAGACCAGTTAATATGTATATTAATTAAATTATGCACCAACCACTAATGCCAGAGATGAACAAATTAAAGACTTTTACCAACTTCTGCGATCTGAAATTGATCAAAAATGCAATCAAGATGCATCAATAATTACTGGTGACTGGAACATGAAAGCTGGAAATGAACAAGTATCAGTAGTTGAAAATACAGCCTTGGTGACAGAAATGATGCCAGAGACTGCATGATAGAATTCTGCAAGACCAATGACCTATTCACTGTTTTTCAAACAACATAAATGGTGACTATACCTTGCCAAATGGAATACACATGAATCAAATCAATTACATCTGTGAAAAGAGACAATGGAGAAGCTTGATATCATCAGTCAGACCAAGGTCAGGGGCTTACTATGGAACAGATCAGCAATTGCTCATATACAAATTTGAGTTGAAGCTGAAGAAAACTAAAACAAGTCCATGAGAGTCAAAGTACATTATATATATCCCACTTAAATTTAGAGACCATCTTAAGAATAGATATGTAAAATGGTACAACCATTGTGGAAAGCAGTATGGTGATTCCTTCAAAAGTTGGAAATACAAATACCATTTGACCCAGCCATCCCAT